TCACTGTCAGACTCTCCTACTCTCCCGCACCTCCTCTCTTTTTCTCTCTCCCACTCTCTAGCCCACCTCCCCCCCAAAAAAACCCAACAACCCCATTAGAATATACATGTACTTGAAATACATCTCTACTTTCATTACTTATTTCTTTTTTCAGCTTTCTTATTCTTAAAAAAACAACTTTTCTTTACTTCTATTTAACCGGCACTCTATCGAAGTTCTTTTTCCGCGTACCTTTTTATTTCCTCCTCCAGTTTTCTTCTTTATCTATTCGTGCATATGTGGTGTGCGTGCTGTGAATGTCAATGGACGGTGGGGCGGTGTGCATAATTTAAACATGCTTGGGTGATAGGAAGTGGTTGGAAGAAAAAAGAGGAGATGGAAATGGGCAGGGCTAATGTTATCTTTTATGGTACACAATGTAATGTGAGGCGGTCCCGGTCAGTTTATCGTTGAGAATAGGCAACTTTGCCTGTTGTGACATTTAATGACAGTATATACCCAAAGAACTCAAAGTTTTGCATTGGAGCTTGGCATGGGCATAAAAGGAGAAGATTTTAAAAAACCACCAAAAAAAAATAAATGAAAAGAATCCAAGCAGTACACATGTGGTTGTATAATTTATAAAGGTCTACTTTGAATGGTCAAATGATATGTAAAAGAACAAAGAAATCAAAGAAGAACTGAGGTGACAACGACTTGAAGACAAGGAAAAAATGGTGCTCGAAACAAATGCTGCACTAAGAACTCCTCTACCAATGTGAACACGGTCAGAGTTTCTGCGTTTGACCTCTTTGCATCTCATCGGATGAAAATGCATATTTAGATCAACAGTTGTTATGTTGAATACAAAACATATTTCTGTATGTGTACAACTTACAAAACTTCATATCTGTAAGATAAAAAGTGTCGATTTTGCTGAACAAGTAAACTCACTTCTCGGACAGACCATTAATAGCGCATACTCACGCCCTTCAGTATGCACTAAGCGCTAAACAATTTTTACCCCAGCAGACCCTAGACTACATAGAACACTCAGAAATTTTCCCTGCTTCCTGTGGAAGCATCAAATAGTGCAATTTGCCGATTAAGCGCTTAAACCCTCACAAAATGGCACTTAAATTTCTCGCTGTTTATACATGTACTCGGGTACTCATTCCCACCTTGGTGAAGTGAGCAAAATTCATCTCATGTAACGTGTCTCTACCAAAGACCCAACGTCAGGTTGCTGACGGGATTCGAACTCATGACCTTACGGCTGAGAGCCCGAGAGCCTAACCACCTGTCCACCAATGAGGCTATAAAAAGTTTCAAATTGGACTCGAATTTTGTCTTTAATTCTAATTTATTCGTGTCATGTGATAGCAAGGCAGACGGAGTGTTTGTAACGTCTATTTCGACGTGTATGTTTGTGTTTACAGTATTTACATGTGTGTGTGTGTGTGTGTGTGTGCGTGTGTGTGTGTGTGTGTGTGTGTATTATGTAGTATGTGTGTGAAAATGGTGAAATGGTATGGGTTTAACGCCCCTATCAACACTGTTAGGTTATTTTAAGGGGCGGGACCTCCTAGTTTAACGTCCGTCGCCGATAGGACCGTAGTATGTGTGTGTATTTGTGTGCTTGTATATGAGATTGTACGTGTACGTGAATCGTACGTGTTTTGGGGAAATTTGGGCAACTAAGAAGAAACCGTTCTCTTTTCATTTTTTTTCTCTGTGTTTTACGGCGTTCGCAAGTGCATAAGGTCATATGAGAGCGCGGGACACACCAAACATTTACAGTTGGTACGAAATTTTGAATCTTGTCCGGGTGACGGCCGTAGCATACTCTTATCGATTTCAGACCTCCAAGGGATCTTTAACGTGCGCAACTTGCACACAGGACCTCCGAGATTTTTCGCACTTGTCCGAGAAGGCTAGGTGTATATCTGTCCTACCAGAAGATCAGGGGTGTGGCTGAAAGACAGCGGTAAGAAGGAGCCAAGAAGTAGAGTAGAAAGGCTGCAGAAAGAGTCAGGAGCCCAGAAGAGGGGGCAAAGGAGGTGAAGGGGTGAGGGCAGAAAGTGGAAACGAAAGCAGATGACAGAACATTGCTAGAGAACAGAATAGGAGGTGAAAGGAGATAATTTTTTTAGAGAAGAAAATTTTTCGGTCCCTACCCGGATTCGAACCCGGGTGAACACCCTGGGCCTCGAGAGCCTCCTTTATAATTTTATAATGTACTAAAACTATAACAAACAAATAAAAAAAAGGGGGCGGGAAGACCCCGTTAAATTAGGGGGGGGGGGGCGTTAAATTATAACCCCTCTATGTTCTTTTAGTTTTAGTCGAGGTATTGCTTAAGGTCATATGAGCGCCAGAGGATTAGAGGTGTCACAAGAGAGTAACAAACATAACGAAGAAGGAGGGGAGATAAGGATGATAGATGTTTCACGCGAGAGAGGAAGCAAACCACACCAGAGCACCCGCCAACCACCCACCCTCTATCTTCGAAAGACATGAAGACATGCCAAAACAGACTAAAGAGAACTGCAGAGTAGACATTGCAGCCGATGTTTTTTTCCCTCTTCTAGCATTTGCAGATTTTTAAATGCATGCACACGTCTGCCTAATTCTCTCTCTCTCTCTCTCTCTCTCTCT